ACTACCACAAATCATGTTTGAAAGGAATTTTTCGGAATTTTTGGGATTTTTTTGGATTTTTTCGGAATGTTTTGGAATTTTTCCAAATTTCGGACTGGACTTTCCCGGAATTTCCCAAGCACTTGCAGCAGAGGTTGAAGCAGGGCCTGGACTGGAGCCGATTTTGGCTGTTGCTGGACGCCGTTGGTGGCACTGGAATTTTTGGAATTTTATGGAATGTTCTGGAATTTTCGGGAATGTTGGAGTCGAATGTTTTGGAATTTTATGGAATGTTCTGGACATTCGGGAATGAAACCGTATGTTGTGGCATGTTTCGGGCATTTTATGGAAGATACGGAAATATGGGGCAACCATTGAAGAAGAACACTCTCTAAGAAGAACCCTAAGAGAGCTTAAGAATATACTCTGGCCTTAATGTAGTCCCTATATAGTTACTCTAGGGCCAGGCCAATGTATATATATATATACTATTTACTATTTGGGTACATGGACCCATAGGGTTACGTATCGAAACCCTAAACCAGTACACGTCGAAGCCCGGGGCTTGAACTGTCTGGCCAGAGCGGTAATTCGTGGTGAGGACGTTTGCCACCAGGAGCGGATGCAAATCCTACGAGGAAGGGTTTCGGGGTTCTTTGGTGGCTTCTTGAAACTTTGGGGTTCAGGGACTGTCAACATGTTATAAGGTTATGTTGTGTTGGGCTTAAGAAGTTTCTCGAGAACGCTATTACCAGGATCAGGCAGTATGGCATTCAGAGAATGGCCCTAAGCAAATAGCATTGGGGGAGGCTTGCAGGGCTGGGATTTAGGATGACAGCTTCTGTATGCTTCTGCAACCTCGAAGGTGCAGACACTGAACCGATAAAGTCACGCGGGATCTGGCATGACCTGGCCCCAAGCCGTATACCGCCGTAGACCTAAACCCTAAGCCGAAACCCTAAGCCTCAAAAGAACCCGTGCAGAACCCTTCTAGGACCTATAGGATCCTTTAGAGGAAACCCTTTAAGAACCCTTAACTTAAGCGATCCCCTGAACGGAACGCGTAAAGGTCTCTTCCAGTAAGCCTAAACCGCAAAGCCCGAGAGCCCGAAGCTGTCCTTCGGCAGGCGCTTGAAAAGATTCACCTGTTCAGGGCTTTGGGGTTTAGGTAAAGATAGGGTTTACAGGGTGTAGCGTCGAGGGTTTAGGTTCATTCATAGGCATGAAGCAAGTGCAAGCTCATGGCCCGCAACCCTAAATGCACAAACCGCATGTCCGCAATCCACAGACCTTAGTACTTATAGAGTCGGGCTTCGGGTTATGGTATCCTACAAACGTGATAATGGACTGCAAGTGGATACTTGTACTAATGCTTCAGACCTCTATACATTACATTACACAATCCTACATCGACGAATCGAAACCCTAAACCCAGCCTTGGACATGAAAGTGATATCTTGCTGAAGTGTTTCGTTCTTGGCGGACATCAGCTTCTTCTCCTGCGCTTTGGGCTTTGGGCACTATAGGCTTCTATTACAGAGCTTATCGGTTATGGGCCTTAGGGATCCTTAGGGCTTGTAGCGTTTGGGGCTAAGGGTTCGGTTCAGGGGGGCCTTGGCTTTGGCGCTGATGAGTTTAGGGCGCGGTCTATGGGGGTTCGGGTGTGAGGTTTAAGAAGGATTTGCTGCTGGCTGCAGGCATCTGCCTAAGCTCCTGGAACCCCTAAGAATCCACGGCCCACGTATGCATGCAGGGCCTATCCCGAGAAGGCCTCTCCAATGTCTTACATTGGGGCTCCTCAGGCCTCGAAGCTGACCCGAGTAGGTTCATTGAATTCAATGAGTGTGCCCGGCATCACCAGCACTCTCACATGTCTAGACCGGACGCAGTACTTGTCCGAAACAGCTTGAGGTTCAGCATGGCTTGCCCCGAAAATGTGGCACGGCGGCTCCATTCAAATTAGGCTTCACGCGCATACTCTAGCTACTTTCAAACAACCCGTCAGGAGCAACCGGGATTTGATCCGAAGGCAGGCAACGCACAGCTCGAGCCAAGGCCTCGGCAATTGAGATCTTTTCGGCTTTCTCAGCTTTCTGGGCGGCCCGTCGCCGCCGACAAAGTCTGGCGCCCATTGGACAAGGTCGTTGGGGCTTCTGTGCGATCTACCTTGGCTCTCACCTGGGAGCCAAATCCACGACGGACAGACTCTGACTTAGCCGTCGCTCCGTCTACTGACCTGCCTGGCACACGTCTACGACTCTTTGCTTGTTGTGCACGGATGCATCGCCGGTGTCTGGGTCTAGCATGGATTACACTGCTTTGCAGTTTGCTGCGATTCTACGGCACAGAGCGAGAATCGTTCGGGCTCTGCATGAGAGAAGAAAAACGTGCCTGAGCACGTGAGAAGATCAAACAATCATGTCCAATCCTGCTGGATGGCATGACCGGCAACACTCGTATTGAGCCAGGCAAGAGTGAAACTGAAAAATCAACGCGACCAATTCAGCGACTAGCATGTCACACATCACTCCATGTACCGAATGCAGAGAATGTGTGCAAGGGTAGCAAACTCTCAGATGAAGACCGTGGGCTCAATTTCATGGGCGTCCTGATGCTCGTGTTTCACACCAAGATGTGCCATGATTCTGTGCTGCTGGTCTTCGAGGAAGCGCATCTCATCTCGTATTTTGACCTGAGGATGCCGAACTCGCAAGACCAAGCTGTGGTCAGCAACCATAGAGCTATATTCTTTGCTTGCACGCACGCGCGCGCGCACACGCACACGCACGCGCGCGCACGCACGCGCGCACGCACACACGCACGCACACACGCACGCACACGCACACGCACGAGCACAAACACACACACACACACACAGAGAGAGAGAGAGACGCACGCACACGCACGCACACACACACGCACACACACACACACTCTCTCGCTCTCTCTCTCTCTCTCTCTCTCCCGGGCATGGGGACGCGTCACCTCTCTCTCTCTCTCTCTCTCTCTCTCTTTCTCTCTCTCACACACACACATGCACCAAACAGGTCGTGCGGGGACTGCCGACCTCACAAACTCTGTCAAACACCACACTCGAAGAGCTTACCTGGCAAGAGAAAGAACTTTGCCGAGAGGCATTTAGCCGCCGAATAGCATACAGGTCCACCGAACGTGCAGGCCCCCGCAACTGCACACACCTTTCCATGAATTCGTCGATGCTGATCAAGTTGTCACCATCTATGTCAAGACTCAAGAACAATGTCCACGCATCCACCGCCCCGATCTCAAGGGATTCGAAAAATGCCTTCACCGCCTCGTCATCGAGATGCTTTTCTAGCTCGGTCAGTGTAATCTTGCCAAGTCCACGCTCGTCGATTCTGTAGAATAAATTGGATACCTGCGCCCGGAAATCCTGCTGGTGCAGGCGTCTGCATCCGACATGGTTTCACTACAGCATGTCTGAAACTGCAGTGGCCTCAAACACTCGACAAGTGTCCTCGCGGTTCTGCATCAGCGACTGCACGACTGTTTCATGATCTCTTTCTGCAGCTTTGATGGCACTGTTGCAGAAGACGCCAGTCCTTGTGCGAGTGCTAACTAACTAACTTTGTTCTGGTGCCAGCCCCCAACATTTCATTTAATGGACAGGACACCTTTGTGAACCCCTCATTTCAAAGGAAGGGGCGACCATCTAACATGAGAGCAGAAGCGAAGCCCGAAGCCAAAGCTTGTGGCAACACTTGACAGCTCATGGACCTATCCACACTGGAAAACAACCCCAGCCAAGAAAGCATTAGACACGGAAGAACCTGAGCCGCATGCAAACCAGCTAACTATCTTTGTCCCGAAGGCAACAGACCCCACCACCTATAGAATGAGGACAGCAATTACAGCCGAAGGCAGAAGAGGCATGTAGCAGCAACTGCAAGCT